GGTAAAACTTTCTGTCCTTGCATAAAAATGAAGACGATTGCAGAGAGCATAGCAATGTTCGTCCTCAGTGTGTCCATCTCAGGAGCTCTGTTCTCTGGGTCCTTTTTACTGTGGGAAGAGCTGTCATCCTGGGATCTCTCTTCTCCACCCTCTTCTGTGAGGAACACCTGTCTTCTTTGTCATGTCTTGTTTTTTATTTATTCTCCTGTTTTGGTCAGGACCATCCTGGAGCAAAGTGGGCTAAGACTAAACATTTGAAACTGTTTTATCTGTAAATGTCTTTAGTTTGCTTCCTTGAATAAGAATGGAAGAGTGGGTAGTAAGGAAGGTTATAATATTCTAGGCTGGAAATTATTTTTCTTTGGAAATTTGAAGGCATTTTTTTTTTAATTGTTTACTTTGAAGCCTAAAATCCTTCTCATTCCTGATTATTTGTATGTAGCCTATTGTTTTCTCTCTGAAAACTTGTAGAATCTTTTGCCATCTACTATCCTCAAATTTCCGGAGAAGGCAATGGCAACCCACTCCAGTACTCTTGCCTGGAAAATCCCATGGATGGAGGAGATTGGTAGGCTGCGGTCCATGGGGTCGCTAAGAGTCGGGCGTGACTGAGCGACTTCACTTTCACTTTTCACTTTCATGCACTGGAGAAGGAAATGGCAACCCACTCCAGTGTTCTTGCCTGGAGAATCCCAGGGATGGCGGAGCCTGGTGGGCTGCCGTCTATGGGGTCGCACAGAGTCGGACACGACTGAAGTGACTTAGCAGCAGCAGCAGCATCCTCAAATTTCACAGCCTGTGCCTTGATGTGGGTGTATTTTCATCCACTCTTTCAGGTACTCCACAGATTCTGTCATTCTGCTTACTTGTCCTTTAGTTCTTGGAACTTTTAATTTTCTTGCTCTATTTCTACCCTCTATTTTCTCTGTGTTTTCTTTCTGGAATTTACATTTGGATACAACTTGTATTGGTTCTCTAGCTTCCTTCCCTTTTCCCTATTATTTCTTTCTTTTGTTTTTGTTTCTTTTAATTCTGTCTAAAAATTCCCTCAGCTTTATCTTCCATTCCTACTGTAAACTATTTATTTCTGAGATCATGTTTTAATTTCCAAGAATTCTAGTTTTCTGTCCCTTTTATAGCATCCTTTTTATTTTATTGAATGTAGTATTTCTTCTACCTGAAATATTCATAGTTTTTTTTTTAAAGAATTTTTTCTCTTCTCAGCTTCTAGCCCTTTCCTATAGAAATATAATGTGAGCTTTATATATAATATTTAATTTTCTAGTAGCCACATAAAAAGAAACAGTGAAGTTAAATTTTAATATTTCATTTAACATGGAAAGTATCTGAGCATCTAATCAGTAATTTTAAATAATTAATGAAATATTTACCTTTTGTGGGGTTTACTGGGTCTTTGAAATCTGGTATTTTTCACTTATAACACATGTCAGTTTGGAACAACCACATGTCCACTGCTCAGTAGCCTTATATGCTAGCAGCCACAATATTGACAGCAGAGTTGTAGGCCTTCATGTTGGTTTTTTCCTATTTATTTTCATTTTGTCTTCTGTAGTTATCACCTTAAAATGAAAGCTTTGGGAATTGAAATCTCTCTGGAAGCTTTTTTAATTGTCAACTATTTTTAAGATTTTATTGAAGTATCATTGGTCTACAATGTATTAATTTCTGCAAAGTGATTCCATTTTTACATATATATATGTATATTCTTTTTATATTCTTTTCCATTATGGTTTATCACAGAATATTGAATATGGTTTCCTGTGCTGCTGTCTGAAAGCTCTTGAATACATGAAGGCTTTAAAGATTTTGAACTTTACTGTAGTGAGTGTAGTGTTATCTAAGAGGACTGTTTGGGAAACACCTGACATTCATATGTCTAGGTCTCTGCTTGTGGGCTAATCTAATAACACAGAGAAGAGTCTTTCCCTGCCTACAGGTATGGTTCCAGAACTCTGGGGGCCTAGTTAGGTAAGAAGGCTTCAGCAGGCATACTGTCACTAAATTCTTATTTAAGATAGTTTTCCACCTGTTCCTTATGCTTGGCATTACCCTTCCAGAGACCCTCTGTTTTACACTGCCCAGAGAAGAAATTTCCAAACTTCTGAGGTTGTTCAGGAGCATGGACTAGACATAAAGATCTAGAATTCTAATGCATTTTGGATAGCTCACACTTCCCCCAAATTAGAGGACCTAGTCTGACAATCCCTGAGTCTCCTTCAGTTCAGCTCAGTTGTGTCCGACTCTTTATGACCCCATGGACTGCAGCATTCCAGGCCTCCCTGTCCATCACCAACTCCCAGAGTTTACTCAAAATCATGTCCATAGGGTCCATGATGCCATCCAGCCATCTCATCCTCTGTCGTCCCCTTCTTCGCCTGCCTTCAATCTTTCCCAGCATCAGGGTCTTTTCAAATGAGTCAGCTCTTCACATCAGGTGGCCAAAGTATTGGAGTTTCAGCTTCAGCATCAGTACTCCCAATGAATATTCAGGACTGATTTCTTTTAGGATGGACTGGTTGGATCTCCTTGCAGTCCAAGGGACTCTCAAGAGTCTTCTCCATCATCACAGTTCAAAAGCATCAATTCTTTATCAATTCTTAGCTTTCTTTATAGTCCAACTCTCACTACATACATGACTACTGGAAAAACCATAGCTTCAACTAGACGGATATTTGTTGGCAAAGTAACGTCCCTGCTTTTTAATATGCTGTCTACGTTGGTCATAGCTTTTCTTCCAAGGAGCAAGTGTCTTTTAATTTCATGGCTGCAGTCACCATCTGCAGTGACTTCGGAGACCCAGAAAAAAAAGTCTGACACTTTTCCCACTGTTTTCACAACTATTTGCCATGAAATAATGAGATCAGATGCCATGATCTTAGTTTTCTGAATTTTAAGCCAACTTTTTCACTCTTCTCTTTCACTTTCACCAAGAGGCTCTTTAGTTCTTCTTTACTTTCTGCCATAAGGGTGGTGTCATCTGCATATCTGAGGTTATTGATATTTCTCCCAGCAGTCTTGACTCCATCTTGTGCTTCATCCAGCCCAGTGTTTCTCATGATGTGCTCTGCATGTAATTTAAATAAGCAGGGTGACAGTATACAGCCTTGACATACTCCTTTCCTGATTTGGAACCAGTCTATTGTTCCATGTCCAGTTCTAACTGTTGCTTCCTGACCTGCATACAGATTTCTTAAGAGGCAGAGTCTCCTTAGGATCCGGTAAATCATATTGATTCTCTGTTTAGAATTTTAGCTTTCTTAGGAGTGCTAAGTCAGCACATGGTTTATGTCCTCTTCAGCTTGTGAAATGTTTTTTGTCTCCATTCCTGTTCTCCCAGTCCTGTGGGCTTAACTGTATGTCAGTAAGATTGTAGAAAGGAAAGAAATTAGGTACAATTGTTGGATGTACCATGTTAGCCCGGGAAACTATTGATCTCTCTTTAACCACATTTTATATGATTCTCAGCTGAGAGATGGAGACAGTATTTTCAAATGACTTTTAATCTCACAATGAATCATCCTTTATTTCTTCTAGTCAGTCAGGGAGAGGAAATAAATGGGGTCAAATACTACCAGCTTTCGGCCTTCCCAGGTGGCTCGGTGGTGAAGAATCCACTTGCCGGTGGTGAAGAATCCACTTGCCAGTGCAGAAGATGCCAGAGATAGGGATTCAGTCCCTGAGTCAAAAAGATCCCCTAGAGAAGGAAATGGCAACCCACTGCAGTATTCTTGCCTGCGTAACCCCATGGATAGAAGAGCCTGGCAGGTTACAGTCCATGGGGGTTGTAAAGAGTTGGACATAACTTGGCAACTAAACAGCAACAACATACCAGCTCTTGTTCTGTGCTAGGAATACTATGGGACCAAAGCTTTAGTGTGGAAAGTCATGCTCAGTTCATGTGTTGAGAATAGCCTTTATTTTACTCAATACTATGTGGGAAATCTGAAGCTCCAAGAATGACCTTCTTCAGATCCCAAAATGGTAGAGGTAGGAATTGATCTTGATGCTGTCTTTGGGACCAGCAGGGGAAGCTGGAAAAGTAGGTGCCAACCTCACCACAGATAGTGTAAGACATCATCTAGCAAGAGAGATGTTGTATATTTTATCACTGCGCAGTGCAATCATTGAAATCAGTTATGCGAGTGGACAGATCAAGGTGGTATGCCTATTGATAGTTGGAGAGAAGAATTTTATCTTTTGACCTACTTACGGCAATTAAAGTGGTGTTTAAAAATTAGATAACAAAATGTTGGCAGTGTCTTCTTGTTAAGTCATATTGTCTTTTGCTAATCTTCAGTTAGGTCCAGGTAAAACACAAGGACATTATAGCATTTTGTTCTCTCTGTCTCCCATACAAACAGAAAATAAGTTTTTTTTATATTTAATTTTATTTATATTGTACATTATCCTGGATTTTTTTCAATAAGATAACTGAAGATTATGCTGACTTTGGGGCAGTCTTGAATGTAATTGATATAAAGTATCAGTTTTAAAATCCCATCATGCAGCTTTAGGTTTAGAGTTTTACTTGATTACTAGTTAACTCATTTTTAATATGGACATACTTATGGTGATATCAGATTCACTTTATAGATCACACCTATCAAACATACGTACATTTCTTTTTTTCTTGTTCTAGAGTTTAATTTTTTTTCTTCTGGTTGTATTGAGATATAACTGACATATACAGCACTGTATAAGTTTAAGGTGTACAGCATAACAGTTTGACTTAACATACATCATGAGACGATTATCACAATAAGTTTAGTGAACTCCATCATATATAGATACAAGGTTAAAGAAATAGAAAAAATATTTTTCCTTGTGATGAGACATTACGTACATTTCTAACTCTGGATTGACCTTAAGTCCTGTTACTCTAAAAAGGACGTGCTAAACCACTCAGTAGCTATTCAGTAAATTATTAACAGTGAAAACATGAAAAGAATGATATTTCTATTGTAATTTTATTTCTTTAGCTCCCAGAACCATTTATTTTATTTCGATTGTACAAGGAATTTATAGACCTTGCAATAGAAATCCAACATGTAAATGAAGAACAGGAGATGAAAAAGGATAACCCTGAGGACAAAAAATGGCCAAGTACATCTATAGAAATAAGCCGAATTCTCCTAAAAAGCAGGGACCTTCTAAGACAATTGCCAGCATCGAATTTTAACAGCCTTCATTACCTCATAGTTCATCTTAAGCGGTAAGAACTTTGAATAAGACAGGCATTGATTAATGGGTGGATAATGGGTCAGTTTTTTTGGTTTTGCTTTTATGGTGGTTTTTTTTTTTAATTGTGGTAAAATACACATAACAAAAATTTACCCTTTTAGCCATTTTTAAGTGTGCAGTTCACTAGTATTAAGTACATTTCACATTCTTGTGGTATTGTTTTTAGATTGAATATTTCATTTCTAATATGTATGAGGGAAAGGGAGACACTTAATATATGTTCTTGGAGCCAACATCTTTCCATCAGATGCCTGTTCTGTGCCAGACTCTGGCTGGGGAAATAAGGATGCAAATGTCAGGTTTCTTTCATGTGTTCTGCTGTGAGCTTGAGGGGCCGACCTGCACAGAAGTGCAGTGCAGTGTCATTCTTATTCTGAGGGTACTTTGCTCAGCATGCAGAGGAACATGGGGGAGGGGGTCATGAATCAGAGACGGTAACCCTGAGTCAGACTTGAAGAGTGGTTTGCTGACAGAGGATGTGCAAAAGGGCATTCCAGGCAGAAACACAGGAGATCACTTTGATTTGGGGGACATAAAAGAAGTTTAGTTTGGCCATAGTCTAGCAAGCAGTAGCGAGTGGAGGACCTGGTGAAGTCATACATGCCTGGCAGATGAGTTGACTGTCTTCTTTCCGTACTCACTAAAGGATTTGGGGCCAGGAATTTAACATGCTCAAGTTTGCCTGTTAGGTCTTTCTAGCAGCTATATTGAGAATGGCTTGGAGAATTACTTCAGTTCCGGTCTCCTTGAATAGTCAGAGAAGTAAAAGGTGATGAGAACTTGAGGTAAGGCCAGAGCAGTGGGAGTGGCGTGGAGCAGCAGAGGTCTTTAGGGTCAGCTGGGCTGGGAGACTGGCTGTGGGCAGTGAGACAGTTTCCACCATAGGTACCTTGGGGGATGTAATGCATATTTACTAAGATAAGAGCAGCGTTTAGGGTTTTTTTTTTTCCTGCTGGTAAAACTGTACTGATTCCTTTTACTTATTTATATTTAATCCTAATACTGTGAAACCCAGCTTGCTCTGTGGTCAGTATTTAAGCAAATAAATAGATCCTTTTCCTAGACTTCAGCCCATTTTTCCTCCACCTTTCCCAGCCCATAATAAACTGCCATCAAGGAAATCTAAAACAGCTTTATGTGTTCTGCGTCACAGAGTTGTAGATCATGCGGAAGAAAACAAAATGAACTCCAGAAACTTGGGTGTGATATTTGGACCAAGTCTCCTTAGGCCAAGGCCCACAACAGCTCCTATCACTATCTCCTCTCTTGCTGACTATTCAAATCAAGCACGGTTGGTAGAGTTCCTCATTACCTACTCACAGAAGATCTTCGATGGGTCCCTGCAGCCACAAGATGCAGCTGTATGTAGTGCGGGTGGCATCACACCTCAGGTTGACCAAGGCTATCTTCCAAAGTCTCTGTTATCACCAGAAGAAAGAGATCCAGAACATTCTATGAAGTCATTGTTTTTCTCTTCAAAAGAAGTGAGTTTTGTTCATATGGAATTCTGTTGGAACTTTGTAAAGTAATGTTATAAGTTGAAAATCTTTGAACTGTTTATTTTGAAGTGTGTTTTGCTTCTTCAAGTTTAAAAACTTTCTTTTATCAACAGGATATCCAAACTACAGACAGTGAAAGCAAAAGTTTTGAATCCACTCCATCATTTGAGGAATCAGAGCGAAAGCAAAATGCATTAGAAAAATGTGATGCATATCTCCTTGGTGAGTGGCCATGTAAAATGCATGCTTACTGACTTAAAACTGTCACAGTAAACCATGATTAAAAGCCAAGGTGAGTGAAGTTGAAAGAAGTCAGAGGAAGAAGGTTCTTTAGTAAGTGCATCTTTCCCAGACATTAAGAATGCCTTTTAGTGTACCTTGCTAGCGTACCTTTATATGAATGTCGTTCTTCTCAGTAATCCTGATAAAAAGACATCTTGGAGTTCATAGGTGTGTTTTGTGCTCTTTCTGAAAAAAATTTTTTTTTGCCGTTTATGTATGTCAAGAATGCAGAAATATTATTACATAGTCTGATGATTCATTAGCATCCTCTGTAACCATAGATCATTGTATTGATCTTACTACTCGTAAGGAGTCACCTAGACTCCTAAAATTCAAAAATTTTAGACTCAAAAAACTCAAAAATTTTTTTCAAATGCCTTTTCATATCACCTGTCATTAACACATTGAGCACACATGTGTATTTCTTTTTATTTCCTTGTCTTTAGTCCTTCACTGTATATAATTTTAGTTGCAGTGATAGGTGGGCTATCCATTTGTGGAAAGGCTTTCATTTGTTACTGTAATTCTGTACATCACTAAAGTGAACTTGCAGGTTTTTAAAATGTAGTCATATATGTTAAATTTGATCTGTAATTAAATATTAATGATCACAGCCTGACAAGATCTGAAAAGCAAGGGAGCCTGCTCTGTGCTCGGCACTGTTCTTATTGTTTGATTCTGTTTATCCAATTTGATCTCAGAAACAGTTCTGTGCTGTAATATAGATAGTATTAAACCCTTTTGACCCATAACCTAATAATCTGAGAGAGGTTAAATAGTGCCAGAGGTCGTGCCCCTAATTGATCGTTCAGTGTTTGAACCTATGTTCATGATAATGTCACTATTCCATTATCTAGGGCTCCCAGTTAGCAATAATAATAAAAACAAATGGCATTGTTTTTAGTACCTGTACCACTTCGTTTATATACCAGATAAATGAACACTCTTCATGATTAGATCATTTAGGCCACACATCATCAAAGATGCAAGTATGATTCCTTCTGACAGGTGAAGACCCTGAGAGACTGCAAGATTGCCTTGCCCAGTGCACAAGGGGTAGCGCTAAGCTAAATCCAGATGCTGGCCTTTGGAGTCTGCACTCTTATCCATTACACTGTAGTTTTCTCCCTTAGAACTTAAGAATGCATTTTGGTGCCTTCAGTGGTTTGCAGAACGTCCTTTAGGATGTTCTGTGTACCTGGGGGAAGGACCTGGGAAATCAAAATCAGAGCGCATTGCCCTGGAAGCCTAGAGAAGAGAGGTTCACAGTAAGGAGGTATGGAGGAAGGTCAGATGAGGTGATAACTGTTAAGTCATTCTGATGGGCTCCTGTCTGTAAACCACTCCTCAGAAGAGGAGTATGAGCAGAGGGCTGGAATTTACCAGAAACCGGGATGTTTTAGGGGAGATGCTGCAAAAAAAGGGCAGGGTTTGGAAAAGTTCAGGATTCTAGTTTAAGAAAACATGGACCATGGGTCCAGACTTGATAGAAGAGAGAGGGAAGTACATCTGGAAGTGAACAGTAAATAGGGAGAATGGCATTTTCCACTTAAAACTATTCAGCTTTAATCAGGATGAATATTATAGTTCATTTATTAATTGATAATATAAGGGCCTCTAAGGCATTTAATATAATATGTTCTCACTGTGGGTTGACTATAACTGTGAAAAGCAGATGGAGTTGGCAAAAGCCTTGGGATTCAGAGTATACTTATATTTGGTCAGCATGTAAATTGGTCTAACTTTTCTGAGGGTAACACACCAATATCGGCCTGTTGAAATCATGACAACCCTTTTAGGCAGCACTTACTTGTTCATGGACTTCCCTTGTGGCTCAGCTGGTAAATAATTCACCTGCAATGCATAAGACCTGGGTTCAGTCTCTAGGTTGGAAAGATCCCCTGGAGAAGGGAAAGGCTCCCCACTCCAGTAGTCTGGCCTGGAGAATTCCATGGACTTTATAGTTCATGGAGTCACAGAGTCGGACACGGCTGAGTGACTTTCACTTCACTTCACTTACTTGTTCATACATAGCATATAAGCTATTGTACATCAGCAAGGGTGTTTTTTCCCACAACCTGCAATGAATTTTGTAGCTATTTATTATATTTATTTAAATAAATACAGACTTCTAACATTTTAAATCAAAGTGTACCTTTAATATTTTATGAGTATTTTACTCCTCTGCCAAGAAAACTAAAAAATAACATGGAGAAAGTACATGAAAACTCTTGTTTTGAGAGGGTGTTCATCTCTAACTCATTTTGATACTCTTGTTAACTGTACCATAAAGTTTGATTTTTAAATGGATCTCTTCCTTTATAGACAACAAAGTGCGTTTGCTTATAGACCAAGAACTTGAGTCAGCATCAAGAAAGACAGAAGATGCTTGTAAAACCTCCAAGCTGCCTACTCTGAAGTCCGATAGGGAACTAAATGGTGTTGAGAGGCATCTTCCAAGGACCAGGATTAGACCTGTAAGTTTGCCTATAGACAGACTACTACTTCTTGCTGGCTCTCCTACTGAGAGAAATGGCAGAAATATGGGAAATGTAAATTCAGACAAGCTTTGCAGGAATCCTATCTTTGAAGGAGTTAATAGAAAAGACACCCCACCTGTTGTTTGTTCTAAATTTGATGGCTTTGATCAGCAGACTCTACAAAAAACTAGGGAGAAACAGTATGAACAAAATGACCTGACTGCAAAGACTGGAATGATTGTGCCCAGTGCATTCCAGGAAAGAGGTGTGACACCGACCATCAGGAGCAGTGGGGACCACCCAGTCAGCATCACCCAGCCCAGTAAGCCAAGCACAGAACCTGTCAGGTCAGCAAGACAGGTGTCAGAGAGACGGTCCTCTGACTCCTGCCCTCCTGCTTCCGTCAGAGCGCCCAGGACACTGCAGCCCCAGCACTGGACAACGTTTTATAAACCGCCTGCTCCTGCTGCTAGCGGGAGAGGGGATGAGGAGAAACCTGTGACTCCCTCCATAGCCATGCCCCCTGGCACAACGCATGCTCCGCAGGAGTGTGTGCTGAAATCAGTTCCAGGGTCTGAAACTGCATCGGCTGGGCCTGTGCACCCAGTTAGTAAGCCTGAAGAGAAGGCTGAAGAGCGAGACCAGCCTGGTGTGCCCACGGCATGTCAGAGACCTAGGCTAAAACGGATGCAGCAGTTTGAAGACCTTGAAGATGAAATCCCACAGTTTGTGTAGGTTGTCAGAATGCAGTTTTTTCTCTTTTTGTTGTTTTGTTTTGTGGTATTGTGTTTGTCTCCTGAAAGAAATTTTTGACAGGGCCTCTCTTGTATAGGATTGCCAAATTGTGGAGTTAGCTTTTTGTCATTGTATTGTGTTAGCCTGTGTCAATTTTGTTGAATGGCAGAATGTTTTGATAGGGCCCACCTGTGCCTCACTGGAATTATATGTATTTTTGAAGTTGTGAATAAATAAACTCTAAAATTTTTTTAAAGTTCAGTTGATTCCCCATAAAATGGTCCATTTAAGTGCATCCCTAATATATAGCTCTCAACTAATAGGTGCAATTGAGGGAAATCAGCTTTATTTTTTTGATGTTGAAACTACATGCTTATTTATAAAAGGAAAGTTTCTGAGTGCAAGTGCTTGAAAGATCTTTGTTTGGTATGATTGTTTTTTTCACACAATTTTATAGTGTATCTTTGACCATTTATGCTTTTATGGTAAGTGTGTAACCTTTTATTTTCCAATTGGTGATTCACTTAACTCTTTCATATTTACATCATGGCCAAAAAGCTTGTAAATCTGTATTTAATTCCATTTTAATTAACTGCCAAATTTTGCATGTGGTAGCCAGTTTAACTGTACAAAGAAAATGCATTTAAACAGGTTTCTAAATTGTATAGTTCAGTCATGTCTTATTTGGTTTTAGATAGTACACATTTAATAATTTTTCACTTTTTGGCTTTGTTCTGCATAAACTTTTGTTCAACAGTTCTGAACCTTTTGGTATTTTATATAATAGTCCAAAACAATCTTTTAAAATTCAATGTATTTCCTTTTAATATTATCTGGATTTTTTAAAAAAACATTTCTTTTGTTTGAAGTGTTTTCACTTATGAATAATTTTATGTGCTTTTTCTACCTGGATTTATAACTGTTGACCATGTATGATTCAGGTGAATCATACAGATATTTAAAGTTGATTCTAAGAGTATAGTTCAATAAGTCCTCATTGTTTGGAATTTGAGAGGGAGTGTAGATGACTGGATATATTTCATTTATATTTCCCAGTTTTTTAGAACTAGCTCAGTTCTGTTAGTTTCTTGGTTTTGCCATTTTGCATAAAATAGGATATAAAAGGGACAAAAAATAAAATAGCCTCTTTTTGTATGTGTGAATTATATTTGTAACAAGTGCTTTTTTATGACCATGTTATACTTGATAAAAATATATATATTAACCTGTTAAATTATTTCAAGTTCTTGTGGTTTCTGTGAAAATGTTGCCACTTGGGGTGTGAGACTTTGAGGTTTATTAGCCATTGGCTTAGTGGTAAACACTTGGAACGCATATGTCCTTTGATTGCAGCATGGAGTGCATTTTCTGGGAAGTTGTTTTATAGTTTTATATGACATTAAGGACTAGAGATAAAGAATTGCCCACCCTTTTGTACTGGAGCCTTGTTTGTAGTCCTAATTTTTTTAAAAATGTAGAATTGTGTTGGTATGAAAACCTGCAAAGAACATAAGAGCCAAAATTTATTGAGTTCTTTCTGCGTGCCATGAACTCTGCTGAGTTCCATGTAAATTATTTCAAGTTTACAGCAGCTTATAATGGGTAGGTAAGTACTTTATTATTCCCATGTTACAGATATGAAACTGATGCTTAAATAATGTACTCTGGGTTCCACAGACGTAAAAGTTGGAGTCAGGTCTCAAACACCAGGCAGTCAGATCCTGATGTAACATTGGCACTCTTAACTGCATAATTACTAAGTAATATCAGGTAGTGTTTAACAATAGAAAATGCACCTTTGAAAATTTTTAATTGTGGTAGAATATGCATTACATAGAATTTACCATTTTACCAAGTGTTAAGTGTACAGTTCAGTGGCATTAAGTACACACACATTGTTCTGCAACCATGACCACTATCCATATCTAGAATTTTTTCATCATTTCATTTTGAGACTTCGAAAATGTGCCTGGGTTGGGAGGATGCCCTGGAGAAGGAAATGGCAATCCACTGTAGTATTCTTGCCTGGGAAATCCCACTGGCAAAGGAGCCTTGTGGGATACAGTCCATGGGGTCACAAAAGAGTCAGACATGACTTAGTGCCTAGGCAACAGCAGCACCACGGGATAAAGTCCTCAGGTGGGATCTCCCTTAGGCTAATCCTACTAGAAACTACTAGGAAAATCACATCCAGGTTTTCAAATCTTTTATCTTTTTTCCTAAGGAGCACAAAGCAGATACAGCACACCAACTCTGGGAATGTAATGTCATGAGTGAGCTGTGCCTTCTGCCACATTTGTTTAAGGAATATCAGCTGGTGACCTTTCACTCTGTAGAAAATGTACTTTTTAAACTCTTGCTCAGTTGTGTCTGACTCTTGGAATTTTCCAGGCAAGAATACTGGAGTGGGTTGCCATTTCCTCCTCCAGGGAAACTTCCTGGCTCAGGGATCAAACTCGGGCCTTGTGTCTCCGGCATTGTCAGGCTTATTCTTTATTACTGCATAAAATCTTAATTTTCTTTTAATCTACTGAGACAAGCCAAAGAGTATCTCATCAACAAGTGGCCTCTCTGTTTCCCCTTACTTTTTAAACCTCACAAGTTAGAGTTCCACTTCTGGCTCCTATCTGCCTAGAGGGCTCTCTGGCATCTTGTCCAGCTAAAGCTATCAGTCTGTAGATGTTTTGTGGTTTCCTGGGACATTAAGCAAGTATCTCTTGGGATGTTGCTGTTTCCAGAGTACCTACAACATCCACTATGCTCTGCTACCCAGTAATGTGGTGGCAGTCATTCATTAGAAGTTGTTTCATGTCACATGGAAACAATGTGAGCCTAGGGAAAGGGCAAGAGTTGAGAGTCCTTTAAAAGCTGCTGGACTACCAGAAAGCTTGTGGAAAGCATACTGTTTACGATTCCAAGAAGTCATTTGTGAAGGGTTGATCATAACTTCCCTAGATATATTTGTTTTGCGATGGTGTGATCACTCGCCTAAAGCCAGACATCCTGGAATGCGAAGTCAAGTGGACCTGAGGAAGCATCACTAAAAACAAAGCTAGTGGAGGTGATGGAATTCCAGTTGAGCTATTTCAGATCCTAAATGATGCTGTGAAAGTGCTGCACTCAATATGCCAGCAAATCTGGTAAACTCAGCAGTGGCCACAGGACTGGAAACGGTCAGTTTTCATTCTAATCCCAAAGAAAGGCAATGTCAAAGAATGTTCAAACAACCACACAGTTGCACTCATCTCACACACTAGCAAAGTAATACTCAAAATTCTCCAAGCCAGGCTTCAACAGTACATGAACCATGAACTTCCAGATGTTCAAGCTGGATTTAGAAAAGGCCGAGGAACCAGAGATCAAATTGCCAACATCTGTTGGATCATCGAAAAAGCAAGAGAGTTCCAGAAAAAACATATGCTTTATTGGCTACACCAAACCCTTTGACTATGTGGATCACCACAAACTGGAAAATTATTCAAGAGATGGGAATACCAAACCACCTCACCTGCCTCCTGAGAAAGCTGTATGCAGGTCAAGAAGCAACAGTTAGAACTGGACATGGAACAACAGACTGGTTCCAAATCGGGAAAGGAGTCCAGCAAGGCTATATATTGTCACCCTGTTTATTTAACTTATATGTAGAGTACATCATGAGAAATGCTGGGCTGGAAGAAGCACAAGCTGGAATCAAGATTGCCAGGAGGAATATCAGTAACCTCAGATAATACAGATGACACCACCCTTATGGCAGAAAGCAAAGAACTTAAGAGCCTCTTGATGAAAGTGAAAGAGAAGAGTGAAAAAGTTGTCTTAAACCTCAACATTCAGAGAATTAAGATTGTGGCATCTGGTCCCATCACTTCATGGCAAATAGATGGGGAAACAAAACAGTGAGAGACTTCATTTTGGGGGGCTCCAAAATCACTGCAGATGGTGACTGCAGCCATGAAATTAGAAGACACTTGCTCCTTGGAAGAAAAGCTATGATCAACCTAGATGCATATTAAGAAGCAGGGACATTACTTTGCCAACAAAAGTCCATCTAGTTAAGGCTATGGTTTTTCCAGTAGTCATGTATGGATGTGAGAGTTGGACCATAATGAAAGCTGAGTGCCAAAGAATTAATGCTTTTGAACTGTGGCGTTGGAGAAGACTCTTGAGAGTCCCTTGGGACTGCAAGGAGATCAAACCAGTCATTCCTAAAGGAAATTAATCCTGAATATTCATTGGAAGGACTGATGCTGAAGCTGAAACTCCTATACTTTGGCCACCTGATGTGAAGAACTGACTCATTGAAAAGACCCTGATGCTGGGAAAGATTGAAAGCAGGAAGAGACGGGGCCAACAGAGGATGAGATGGTTGGATGGCATCACCAACTCTATGGACACGAGTTTGAGCAAACTCCAGGAGTTGGTGGTGGACAGGGAGGCCTGGCGTGCTGCTGTCCATGGGTTCACAAAGAGTCAGAAACGACTGAGCAACTGAACTGAACTTAATTAGAATTTATGTGTATTAAAAATTACTTTGAGTGCACATTTAAAATTAGTTTTGGCAAAAAGATGAAGATATCCTTGAAAGGGACTTGTTGCCTAGAGGTCTCAAAAACAAATAGAATCATACATTCTTGATTTAAAAAATTTGAAGAATTAACAAAATATACAGAAGATCTTTGTGAAAAAAAATTTAGACTATCTCAAGTGGATATAGGAGATCTTAAGTGTTATAACATTTTATAACTATGTTATATATGGATTGGAAGTCACAATATTGTAAAGATGTTCATTTACCTTATTTATAGATTCATTGTTATCTCATCCAGTATAATTTTTGAACCATCTGAAAGTTGTGTAATGATGCCTCATTAACACTACTTGAGTGATATTTTCTTAAAACAATAATACTGCATAACCATAGTATGACCATCAAAATCAGATTAACATTGACATATGGAAATGACAAACAGCACCAGTATTCTTGCCTGGAAAATCCCATGGGC